AGTCAAGTGACTGCATACAATTCGACAATTAATTGACGGGTAGGTGCGAAACTCATTGACAGATCACACTAGGGAGTCATAAACAGTTTCTTTTGCTATAAGTTAGGGGATTTTTGAAACGATGAGAGAAGACTGCGTTTAATAGGGAATCAAATTCCTTTTTGAGGTCAAAGTTCCCTCTTAGGCTCTACCTTGCGCTACCGTGCGTTCTCCAAGGACACAGTCATTAAATACCATCAATCCTCTTCTTCTAATGGGAAGGTAAATAAAACTTCTCCTCTTTAAGTAAAAAGTTTATCTGGCCAACCTCAATTATTGCTATGTTCCCTTCTCCCTAGTATAAGTTAATACGTTTGTCGAAACGACGTGTGGGTAGGTGTTGGTCAAAATTTCCCGCAAACAAATTAGTCCTTTCTCGTGCAAAGAGTTAAATGGGCTCTAGTGTGATGGTGCATTTGGCGACTAATATTATCCACTAAAAACACTTCTGTCTGGAGGCTGTACGATCTATGAACCATTACCTTAAACCTAAAAATTTACCGTTTAGTTGGACAAAGACATAAGTTGCTTGACTCAGTTATTCAAAAAGTTTCTAGCGTCATTTCGGTAGCCCTATTCACCTCCCTAAGTGTTCGATTAGTAAATAGGGACCATTCTGAGTTTTCTGACTGCTGCTTTTATGCAAAGTGTCGTATATTGTCCGCAATATTAATTCATTTTAAGACCTAAAACATTGACTTTTTGAACAAAATAAATATGATCTACTGCTGGCCAATTGACTAACAATCCAGCTGGTTCCTTAATTGGTCTTCTTTCTTAGAAATAAAGTTATTGTAGAAGTACAGTCAGTCGCGCGTATTCAGGCTAAATTCGTACTATCGCTAATAAAATTTGTCTAGGAACATCACGGCTGTGAAACAGCAATTCCCTCTTTTCTGCTAAAATTTCCTGTTGTGATCGCTTATTTTGTTGCTCTGCTGGACCCTTCCCAGCCCAGTAGGTTTCGCTTTCCCACCTGCCCAATAAGCCTTGACACTATCAGTCATTTCCATTTATGGTGGCTAATCTGGCCCAAAAGTTGTAATGGGGATAAGATCACACGGCTAAGGCGCAATTGCTCACTGCTGCAGTAGAATCATAATTTTTGTCTTACATGAATACCTTGGCAATAAATTGTTGAAAACTTTGTTGATCCACTACATCGATAATCAGGCCAATGCAATGGACTTTGTTTTAGTCCAGATTACTTGGTCCTTTCCTTTTTCTCGAAATTGGTGTGCAAGATCTTTGGTTGATCCATCAGCAGTGATCCAAATAGCAGCCATAATGCTACCAAGTGGTGGCATAGTAAATCGTCTCACTTTCCTCAAACGTGGCAACGTAGGATGGCTTAGTCAAAGCCTCCATTTTACCCCTAAATTTGGTCGTTTCCCAACAACGCATATGCATTTGTTCGGGACTAACCGAAGTATTCGGCTATTGTCGCTCATGCTGGTGAACCGATTGCATATTTTGTACACAGCTCCAATCAAAACTTTAAGTAAAAGTTCTAATTATAGTCCACGGTTAAAGAGTAATGGAATGAGTTTGGCACTTAATAAACTTACTTACATTTGTGCGACTAACAAATTGGAATAATGACAACTCGCATGATGCTGGATATTTACACAGCAGTGAGGTAAACCACATAGAACCATGTAAAAAGGGTTTGCGGCACCAAATTTTATATCAAGGATTATGCAGTTGGATTTGCTAGCTCCGGAAATGCCCACCCCTCCCCGTTCTAGTGCCGATTTTCGTCAGTTTGGACACAAAAAATGATGTACTTTCATATAGTTGGTTACTAGACTACCTTATACTTTCTCTCTCTTCCAATCACT